GGGATCAATAATATTATCTTCCTTTGACAAATGAGGGAACTAAAAGCTTAGAGAGCTTAAGTAATTTGCTCAAAGTCACATAGCTGGTAAGTAACAAATTCCAAAGCTCATATTGTTTCTGTTGCACCCAAATTATCTCTCAGAACTGAGGTTACATGAGGAAATTGGTAGCAGAGCCAGGAGTGAAGACTGATCCTCAGTCTGTAGAACCCAGAGCATAATTTGGATGTTGGGATTACATCTGGTCAAAGTTTTGCTCTTCCTCAGAGCTGTGAAAAGAAGGTAAATGAGTATGATACAATCAGGATCCCCCAAACCACTTGTGTTCATTCTCTCATCAAATATTTATTGAGCCCCACTGTGTGCATGACACCATTTTAGACATTGGAGATGCAGTCATGAACAAAAGAGCCGAAAACCTTCACTACTATGGCACTTCTCAGGGCGTACAAAATGTCACCAAGTAAATAAGATACTTTCGGCTAAGGATAAGTATCAGAAGGAAATAGGACCAGATGATGCAACAGAGGGTGGCTATGGTTGGGGGCTTCTTTAATGTGAGAAGGGAAGGCATCTCTTAGGAAATAATACATGAAATGAAACTTGAATGGTGAGAAAGGGTTAATCATTTGAAAATCTAGAGGAAGAATGTTCTAGAGAGAACTTCAGAAAATTTATAGTGAGATTAAAGTTGGCATGTCTGAGGGAAAGAGAGAAGACTTGTGTGGCTGGAGCCAAATGAAGAGGAATATCATGTGGGAGTTGGAAAAGAGGCAAGCAGGGGTCAGATTATGGCTGGAAATCTAGCAAAAGGCCAGACGTGCTTCCCCCTGATTCAGAGAATCAGTGAGGAGACTCAGCGGGGAGCAGTGAAAGTCCCCACTGGAAGGTCCTCCTACTGTGGGAGGATTTGGGAACAGACACTTGCAGAAGGAGGATCATGAACAAGTATCTATCTGGAATCCGAGCTAGTTCCTGAGAATCTCTTAGTCTAGTAAAGAAGATAATGATTTTAAAATACACATGTAGGGCTTCCCTGGGGGGTTAAGTGGTAAAGAATCCCCCTGCCAATGCAGCGGACATGGGTTCGATCCCTAATTGGAGAAGATCCCAAATGCCATGGAGCAACTAAGCCTGAGTGCCACAACCACTGAGCCTGTGCTCTAGAGCCTGGGTGCCGCAACTACTGGAGCCTGTGTGACTACAGCCTGTGCTCCACGAGAGAAGCCACTGAAATGAGAAACCTGCGCACCGCAACTAGAGGGTGGCCTGCGCAGCAACAAAGACCCAGCACACCCAAAAACATAAAGTTTTAAAACCCAATAATACATTCTCCAGGGGGATCTTCCCAACCCAGGGATCGAACCCGGGTCTCCTGCATTGTAGGCAGATTCTTTACTGTCTGAGCCACCAGGGAAGCCTAGATAATATTTTATGTATAATATACATATGGAAAGGAAATAATAGGGGTTCTGGCAGGAAAATAGTGGGGTGAGTGAGTGAATAACTCCCTGGAAGGGAGTGGATATTGGGTGCAGGCCTCACTGAAGAGATAAAGGACCTTCAAAGATGAGTGGGGGGTTGCCAAATGGACACACAGGTAGCAGTTCGTAAGATTGTGAACTCTTGTGAAGAGCACATCATGTTCAAGGACATCATTCACCAAAGTATTGAGGGAGGGCTATTGTGTGCCAGGCTTTAGAATTAGGCAGTAGAAAGTTGAATTTGGAAAAGTCTTTATCTTTCTTTTCACTATTCTGCATTTCACTATTTCCCTTCAGTCTCAGTAGAAGTTTACTTGAGCTTCTGAATCCCCAAGGACTTGGTACAGAGAACACACCATCCGCCATCCCATCTCCCACCTCCTCCTTTCTTAGCATATTCGACATCATTCTTTACGTCTTAACATAATTGCCACTTCTTTGAAGAGGCATTGGATCATATAGGATTCTCTACCTGCAAGCTTCCTACCACACTTGAAAATATTTGTTCAATGTCTATCTTCTGCATAGAAACTGAGGGCAGAAATTTTATCTTGTTCATCTTTCTATGTCCAATACCCAGCACGCAGTAGGTAGTGCTGCTGTTGAATGTCTCTTTATTCTAAAGAAGCTCTTGATGTGTTAAGGGCTCAGAGGAAGAGGGTACTAACCCAGGTTGGAAGTTTAGGGAAGGCTTCTGGGAGGAAGTAACGCTTAAGGTATTTGGATAGGGGGTGGGGAGCATTCCAAGTTACGAAAACAAAACATTTAAGAGGCACAGAGCTGAAACCACACAAGTGGAAGGTCTTGAATGCCAACTAAGGAGTTAAGTTTTACAGACAGGACATGCTAATATACAGCAGGGTTTTTAATAGGGGAGTGATGTGGTCAGATTTTTACAAAGTTAGCTGGAGAGTAGCTTGGAAGCCGACCTGGTAGGGTGGGGAGACACAGAAACCAGCAGAAACGATCTTCCCAAAGGCCTCCATTACGGTCTTTGAGGGGTGTGTGCATCTAAGGACAGAAGCCACAAAGAATCCCGCGGCTGAAGTCAAAACACTGGGATTTCGAGTCTATATAACAACTTGGTAGGGATGGGAAGGCTGGGAGGAACCGCGCTGCAGCAAGCTTTCATTGGTTTCTAGGGAAGCCCGGCCAATGGTTAATGTCGCTACAGCTTCTACCCAGCGACCGTTCCCGCACGCAGATTAACTGAAATGCCAAGCCAGCGAAGTTGCAGAGCAGTCTTGTACTTCGTTTCTTAGATCGGTGAACCGCCCTAGTCTTTTTGGTCCCTGGCCAATCAGGTCAGTTCCTCTTCCCCCCTTCCTCCCTACTGGCGCCCTCCTTGGAAAAAGCTGGGAATTAGAGTCCAGCATCTAACGACGCACGGATGACTGGGAAATATGGTTGCCTTTTCCAGGGGATAGAGACATCGCCTTTGGGCTATGCAGCCTAATGACCCGTTTCTCGACAAATAAAAAGGGGTCGTAGGGAGGCGGGGTTTCCCTGAAGGCAGAGCATCAGCGTCTGGGTCTTCCGCGCCGCTACCGGACCGGTTGGCTACTTTCCTCCCGGGTACTTGTCGCCATAGCAACAGCGCTCGCCTAACACCAACCCCTCAAGCTCCCACCCGTGGCGTCGCGTTTTTCCTTTTAAGGGTCGCGCTAGATCCTGTGGCGTAGGTGGCGCCTGTGGGCAGCCAGCACTCAGGTCTAGGGCATCAGCTGACAGACCTGGTGGCCGTTTTTTAACCCGTTGCCAGAGCTAAAAAGCAGCTTTGACGACCCAACTTCTCTGACGAGCTCAGAGAGGGCAGGTTTACACATGGCTTGTGGGTTTTGTCTGTGGTGGCCCTTCAGCATCTTTCTCACCCCTCACGATGCACACACACACACACCAGTCCAAGCCTCAGATAAGAAGCAGTTTATTGGCGAGAAGACACATGTGGCTGTCCGGCCTTGGTGCTTCCCTGGCCTTTCCTCACTCCTATAATGCCCTTCTCCCAGCCAATGTGTCTCTGCTGCCGTCCACCAGGACCTGGGCTTGGCGTCCAGAGCAAATGAGTGCTCATTCCCCTGTCTCTCACCCATTTTGTTGTGTCCAGGTGGTCAGGGCAGTTGGGTCTGGACTCACTCCAAGTGTCCTCTTCCTGGCTCCGACCATGTCCAGTGACCTGAGGCTGGGTACTGCCTGCCTACCAACAGTACTCTCCCCATCAGGAGGATGGTCAAGATGGCCCTGCCTCACACTCTCACCCTTAACCTCAGAAGTCTCACTGCTCCTAGGTCTAACAAACCTGGTTCAGGATGCTGGTCTGGGTGGGGGTGGGAGGGAGGCAAGGTCGGGAGGGGTCAATTTACAGGTTAAGAGGCAGTAGGAATTTAGAATTCTTTAAGGGCCCTCAGGCTAAGGCTAGTTTATCAACAAGTATTTATTGCCTATTGTATTCTAGGCAGTGTTCTAGAAGCTAGGGGTATAAACCACACTGGCAAGGTCCTGACCCAGCCCAGCCAGGACAGTTTCCTGAGCTTCAAGATCATTTGTCTCCAAATCTCTATTTCTATCTATTCACTCTTTTCTCCCCTTGGTTTCTTCCCTTCCTTCTCCCTCCCACCACCTCCCAGGGCCCCTTCTTCTCTGCTTAAGCAGCAGATACCCTCCCTTTGGTCTCTTGGGCCTCCACCCTCCCTGGACCCCATCATTCCAGTCCCGTTGATGACTCCTCTTTGAGGGGCCTTGCCCGACCATCTCCTGTCCCAAAGGGCCTCAGGATCAGGTGCCCACGCTGGTGCTTGATACGGGCAGAACTGTCACCAAAGCCCTTGCCACACTCCGCACACTTGTATGGCTTCTCCCCAGTGTGTGTGCGCCTGTGTTTGACCAGGTCTGAGCTCCGGGGAAACTCCTTCCCGCAGAAGCCGCACACGTGGGGCTGGCTGGGTCCAGACGGCTGAGCCCGGACTCGTGATCGAGGGGCAGTGGGTGCTGGGCCGGGGGGGTTATGTGGCCTCAGGAGAGTGGATGGTGGTGGCGGCCTAGCCCGTTCCCCACGATGGGTGCGGAGGTGCTTGACGCGGGCTGAGCTGTCGGCAAAACCTTTGCCGCATTCTGGGCAGAGGTAGGGTTTTTCCCCCGTGTGTACGCGATGGTGTTTCACCAGGTCAGAGCTCCGGCGGAAGCCCTTGCCACACTCAGGGCACTTGTGGGGCTTGTCACCTGCCAGTGGTGGTGGCGGCTCTCCAGCCTGCGGGCCCCCGGGCTCCGGCTCCAAGCCAGGCAGGCCAAAAGGGCCATCCCCTGAGTGTGAAGGGCTTCTAGGCGTCAGCGGGGGGCTGGTGCCTAGAGGAGGTGGGGGTGGGCTGGAGCTGGGGGGCGGGCTGGGGATCAGGGGGGCCAGCGGGTAGCCTGGGAAGCTGAAGTCCTGGGGCTCCATGTGAGTGAGGCGGTGGCGGAGGAGGGTGGAGCTGAGGCTGAAGGTACGGTCACACTCGGGACAGGCGTGAGGCCTTTCGCCACTGTGGGTGCGGAGGTGCTTGACCCGCGCAGAGCTGTCAGCGAAGCCCTTGCCACACTCGGGGCAGAGGTAGGGCTTCTCTCCCGTGTGCACTCGCAGGTGCTTCACCAGATCTGAGCCCCGGGCAAACTCCTTTCCACACACATCGCAGCCAAAGGGCTTGGGCCCCAGGTGACTGCGCTGGTGGCTCAGGAGGCTGCAGCTGAGCACAAACCTTTTGCCACAATCGGTGCAGATGTATGGCTTCTCCTGGGCCTTAGGTCCCTGTGCGGCTGCCGTGGCGGCTCGAGATGGCTGCCGCCGGGGCACCACGGGCCGGGGGGGCTGCTCCCCTCGGTGCGTCCGCTGGTGCTTTATGCGGGCAGAACTGTCGCCAAAGCCCTTGCCACAGATGCCACACTTGTACGGCTTCTCGCCCGTGTGTGTCCGCTGGTGTTTCACCAGGTCTGAACTCTGCCGGAAGCTCTTGCCACATTCACCGCAGATAGTGGGGCGCTCACCAGCCGGGATCCTGGACCGAGGAATCTTTGGGGGCCCCTGGGCTGGCGCCCGGGCCCTGTAAGGCTTTTCGCCACTATGAGTTCGCTGGTGCTTGATCCGGGCAGAGCTGTCCCCAAAGCCCTTGCCACAGACCCCACACTTGTAGGGCTTCTCCCCGGTGTGGGTTCGCTGGTGTTTCACCAGATCTGACATCTGCCGAAAGCTCTTGCCACACTCGCCACATACAGCAGCCCGATCACTAGCCTGGCCCCAGCGTGGTTCTCCTAGGAGCCGAGGGCCTCTGTCCCGAGCCTGAGGTTTTCCAGGTCCCTCCCTCTGGACCCACAGGTCATCCCAGGTCTGAATGCCTTCAGGTTTGAGAGAGGCATTTCCTACTTCGTGACCTGGGGCCAAATCTTCCTCTTCCTTGAACTCCAAGTCATCCTCCTGTGGGGCATGTTCAAGCTCATCTGGCTGAGAAATCTCCGCATGCTCACTCCCTAGACCTGGGGAAAGAAAAAGGAGCGGTAGACCCTGCCTTTTGGCTCAGCCTTCTCTCCGAGGCTCAGACGGTAAAGAATCAGCCTGCAATGTGGGAGAAACAGGTTCGATCCCTGGGTCAGGAAGACCCCCTGGAAAAGGGAATGATCATCCACTCCAGTATTCTGGCCTGGAGAATTCCACAGACAGAGGAGCCTGGTGGGTCCATGGGATTGCAGAGTCGGACATGACGGAGCGATTAACACACTATCTTCAATAGCAATCTCCCCAGAAAGGCATCCTTGATCATCTGTGGTCGCAAAGATCTCTCCTCTGAATTTCCGAAACCCTTATATTGTCTGTGCCTCTCGGTAACAGTAACCTCCTTTTACCATGCCTTTCATATGTGCCAATCACTTAAGTAAGCATTACTGAATCCTTGCAAACAATCCTATGAGGTAATACTATTAACTGTCCCCATTTTACAGATATGGAGTCTCTGAGAATTTTAAGTCACTCGCTCAAGGTTATAAAGTAATAAAGCCAGATTTCTAACTCGGGTCTGATTCCCAAGCCTGCTGTTAAGCCCTACCTTATATTCTATTTGGAAAGCCTAGTATTTACTAATTAGATTTTTTTCTTTTATTATCCCAATCTGTAGTTTATTTCTTCAGTCATCTTGTGTGTACCTGAGAGGAGCCAGACACACAGCTGTCCCTCAGGATACTTAGCTTTGGTAAGAGAGATAAGATAAAATACAAATAATTATAATTGCAGGCTCAGAATGAATGAACTGTGCTGTCACAAGAGAGGACATTAGAGAGAGGGCTAGGCTTTCACAGCGGAGAAAAAAAGTAAACCATGGAAAGGAATGTGTGATAAACTGGAAAAGGGATGTTGGGACTAGATGAAGCATGGAGGATGTGAATTGAACGCTAGACTAACACTTATAATTAGTAGCAGAAGGGAACTAAGGAAGATTTTTGTGGAGGGAGACAAGATTAGACCAGGACTCAGATCAATGTGGCTTGCACAGTGAGTGCCACACTGGAGAGAAAGGGGCTGAGGGGAGGCCGCTGCATTTGCCAGGATGAGACTGAAGGAGGCCTGAAGTAGGACTGAAGCAGCGAGGATGATGATGACTGCAGGCGACGGGGAAAGAGTCCTTGAAATGATGCCCCTCAAGGCGTGTCGCTTAGTAGGTGCTCAGAAACACTGGTTCCCTCCCCCTCCCTGGAAGCGCAGTTCACGTCCTATTTTTCTGGGTCTGGGCTAGGCAAAGCCCAGAACCGGGGGCCCCACCCGGCCATTACCTGCCCATGGAGGTGCACCGCTTCGGCCCTCACCTGTGCGGGCGCCTCTCAGCTGCTCTCTCTCCTCTGAGGCACGGAGATCCGGACCCCAGGGCCCCACCGCGCGCTCCATCGCCGGCACGCCGCCCTGAGCAAGGAGACAGACACAATTTCACGGTCACACAGCCATGTGCAGACGGCGGCGCCCTGCCGCTGCCCTCTGCCGGCCGGCACGGGCACCGGACAGCATTCGGGTGTCCGAGGTACGGGGCGCGGCTCCGGTGACCCCCACCCGCGCCGCCGGCCGCCCCTGCACCTGCTGCTCCTTCCGGCGCGCAGACGCCCCCTTCCCCTCCCGCCTCTGCCGCCGCCGCTTCCGCCGGTTCGGGGCCCTCCGGAGCTCCTCCGCGGGGCTCCGGTGCCCGTGCCACCAGTGGCTCGGGGATCGGGCTCGGCGCCAAACGGGGAGGGGGCTCGGACCCGGGCGTCCCGGGGGCGGCCGCCGGGGGCGGGGACGGGAAGCGGAAGCGCCGGGCGGCACCGGGCCGCTCTAGGACCCTGGAGGAGCTGCACGCCTGTGGGGGCCGCCCGTGTCCTCTGGAGCTCGATGGCCGGCAGGCAGCCGCGTGCCGCTGAGAGGGCTACTCTGAGCCGAGTCCAATTGCCCGAACTCGGTGGTATTAACCGTGTGCTTCCTGGGCTGGAGCTGGATGCGGAGGGCCGAAGACTCTTCCTAATTGTCGCTGTGTCCGGCCACCCGCGCCGACCTCCGGAGGTGGCAGACAGCTCCAGCCACCCCAGCCTGGAGAAACAAAGAGACAGCCAAAGACAGACCCAGGGAAAGGGGTGGGGGAAAGACCAAGGCAGACAAAGGGCGGCAGAGGGCGGCGGAGACCCCAGACGGGGCGGGGGCGGGGCGCCGAGACGCAGGAAACAAAGCCAGGCTGGTCGGCGAGGCCGAGGGCCGGGGGTGGGGGCTGGGCTGGGCTGGGCTGGGCTGGGGGAGACCGAGGCAGGATCGGGAGCTAGGGGCAGACGCCAGATAAATGCTGGGTAGAGGCAGGCCGATGGACTTAGACTTGGATTCGGAGACTCACAGAGTCGTAACCCGAAGAGCCCCCAGTCAGAGAGGATGCAAAGGCAGAGAGACCGAGAGACTGCAGCGGACCAAACACACGGGAGCAAAAGATTGGCCTCCTGAAACAAAGACATGTAGAAACAGATAAGAGAGATGCCAAGTAGCTGAAGCAGAGTCGGAGGAACTGGGCAGGGCACCTGGCGAGAAACAAGCCCGGAGGCAGAGGAACAAAGAGTGAAACTGGCAGAGACAAAGAGAGACAGACGCGTAGAAGAGAGGCCACGGGAAGACTAGGGACTGGTCTACAGCGCTACAAAAGGAGCCGAGGGAGAAGCTAAAACATTAAACCTTGTTTCTCAGCTTCGTGCGGCCCTGGTTGGGGCTGTTTCAGTGGTCCCAGGGGTGTGAGCCCCAGTATCTCCTCTGGGCATGTTTGCCTTTGGGGAGCAGGTGGGGTGCCTCTGCCGCTCATCTGATGATGGAGAGGGTTAATTAAGATTTGTATATTAATCAACACTTATTAGTGCCTCAGTACTATTCCAACAGTTTGATAAAGAGATTAAAACACATGTAAGAGTTGTCTTTGGGGTGCTACCATTTTAAAGGGGCAAGCACACAATTCATGATAAATAAGAACTGTAAGGGCATGAGAGTTATGTGCACTAATCCAAGATATTATAGTATGGGAAACCAGGAAGAGGTCTTATTTGTGGGAATGAGCATGCACGAATGTTTGTTGTTGTTTAGTTGCTAAGTCTTGTCCAACTTTGTGATTCCCTGACAAGCTTTCCTGTCCTTCACTGTCTCCCAGAGTTTGCTCAAAGTCATGTTCATTGAGTTGGTGATACTATCTGACCGTCTTATGCTCTGTTGCCCGCTTCTCCTCCTGCCCTCAATCTTTCCCAGCATCAGGGTCTTTTCCCATGAGTCAGCTCTTGGCATCAGGGACCAAAGTATTGGAGCTTAAACTTCAGCATCAATCCTTCCAATGAATATTCAGGGTTGATTTCCTTCAGGATTGACTGGTTTGATCTCCTTGCTGTCCAAGAGACTCTCAAAAGTCTCCAGTACTGCAGTTTGAACGCATTAATTCTTTGGTGCTCAGCCTTCTTTATGGCCCAATTTCTCACATCTAGAACATGGAGACATACAGATGTTGTGGACAGAGTCTACACTGACCTAATGAACAAAGATATGATAGGAATGTAGTACAGAGAGAAACCTGTAGAGTTTAGTGGCTGCGGACATTATCTTTAAGGTCATTCATGCAGAGTTTTATTCCTGATCTTGTCCTTTACTCCCTTTAACCTTGGGAAGTTACTTCTGTTTCTTGAACTGTAAAATGGAGATACTACCTAATTTGAATGGTTGAGAATAATATGTGTAAAGTACTCAGTAAAAAAATATCAGTTGTGACTCTTTGGGCTGAAGTAACCAAGGAAGAATGTGGTGTTTTCAAGCTGATCCTTTCAATCAGCTAAGATTTCAGCGAAGTCCAGAGCCTGGCTGAAGGGGACCCTGAATGAAGAATTCCAGTCACAGTCGCTCACAAACTAGTGAAAAACCTACTATGCGCTAGAAGCTTGGGGATCCAAAGATGATTAAGGGGACTTTCCTGGTCATCTGGTGGCTAAGACTCCGAGCTCCCAATGCAGAGGACACGGATTCAATTCCTGGTTGAGAAGCTAGATCCCACATGCTGTAACTAAAAGATCCCTGATGTGCAATGAAGATTGAAGATACTGCATGCTGCAGCTAAGACTTGGCGCAGGCAAATACATACATATATATATGAAAAAATGAAAGTGTTAGTCACTCAGTTGTGTCCAACTCTGCAATCCCATGGACTGTAGCCTGCCAGGTTCCTCTGTCCATGGAATTCTCCAGGTAAGAATAGTGGAGTGGGAAGTCATTCCCTTCTCCATGGGATCTTCCCAAACCAGGGATCAAACCTGGGCCTCCTGCATTGCAGGCAAATTCTGCAGATACTTTACCGTCTGAGCCACCAGGGAATCCCTATATAGACTGTAATTATGTATATTAAATATGTATAATTATAAATATGTATAATTATGTAATTATATATATATAATCCTCCATGATTACGATCAATCGTCAAAAGAGGAAAATAAATAATAGCTCTGATTAATGTGTCATAAGTTTACATAATAGGAAAGGAGTGGAAGTTGCAGATAAGATGATAAGTTAATGATTAATTCCACAAACATTTCCTGGGGGTCCAACATGTACAAGGCATGTTGCTGGGAAACTGAGGTAAGAGGGTACCAAAATGGCAAAGAGCCAGCCCCTCTTGGAGGGAACCCCCCAAAGGCTGGTCAGCCCTCATGCCATAGTCACTTGTAGAAAGGTCTAACTTTGAGAAGACGAAACCTGGAGTTATTGGGTCTGAATCTGAATTCATGTCTAAAAATACAGAAGGGACTTCCCTGGTGGTCTAGTGGCTAAGACTGCACTCTCAGTGTGGGGGGCCTGGGTTCATTCCCCAGTCAGGGAACTAGATCCCATATGCTGCAACTAAGAGTTCCCACAACTAACACCTGCATAGCCAAATAAATAAATAAAATAAAAAATAAATAAATAAAAATACAGAAGCCCTTCCAGGGATGTCTGGTAGGGCCATAGGTGGTTATGAAGATATAATGGTGAGATGAAAAAGAAGTAATCCAGGTGATTATGAAATGGAAAGACTGCTGTCTACCATTCACTGCCCCATAGAAACTTGGGGCCCCAAATTTTATCATTATAAAGTCATTATCCCAGGAATGACTAAGCATAATTTGTTGGAATTAATAAGCATGTAAATGAAATATTGTGTCACTACTAATTCATGTCATTTCTGAACTTAGCCAAGCCACCAACCTTTTTTGAGGGCGTTTGTTAATATGCACAAATGCCTTAAATATGTGACTTCCTTTGACTCAGTAATTCCCCTCATAGAAATGAGGCCCAAGGAAATGGTTTGGACAAGTGCACAACGATAGCACCACATAGTCATCCCAGCTCAGTGTTGTTTATCTCAGGGAAGAGTGGGAGTCAACCTAAATATGTGTGTGTGTGTGTGTGTGTGTGTGTGTGTGCGCACGCACGCTAAGTCGCTTCAGTCACGTCCTACTCTTTGCAATGCTGTGGACCATAGATAGCCTGCCAGGCTTCTCTGTCCATGAGATTCTCCTGGCAAGAATACTGGAGTGGGATTCTCCTGGCAAGAATACAGCCCAAACACTTTCTCTCCATTTCCTCCTCCAAGGTATCTTCCCGACCCAGGGATCGAATCTGCATGTCTTCCATCTTCTGCATTGCTGCTGCTGCTGCTGCTAAGTCGCTTCAGTCGTGTCCAACTCTGTGCGACCCCATAGACGGCAGCCCACCAGGCTCCCCTGTCCCTGGAGTTCTCCAGGCAAGAACACTGGAGTGGATTCCTATTTCCTTCTCCAGTGTGTGAAAGTGAAAATTGAAAGTGAAGTCACTCAATCGTGTCCGACTCGTAGGGACCCCATGGACTGCAGCCCACCAGGCTCCTCCATCCATGGGATTTTCTAGGCAAGAGTACTGGAGTGGGGTGCCATTGTCTTCTCCGGGGTTCTTTACTAGTGCCACCTAAATACTAAGCCCTTCAACCTAAATACTAAGCAGCTATGAAAACGATAATGTAGGCTGAGACGCCACACTCCCAATGCACGGGGCCCAGCTTCTATCCCTCATGCCGCAATTAAGACCCAGCACAGCCAAATAAATAAATAAATAGAAATGAAATATAAGTGTATATAAATAATAATGAAATAAAATTATTAAAAAATGATAATATAGATGTGTGTTTATGATCATAGACTTACAGGACATATTAAATGACAAAAACAGGTTTCTAAAATTATAGTATGATCTTAAAAAATAAAATAAAATTATAGTATGATCTTAGTTTTGTGAATATATATTTATTCATATGCATAGGCATATGAGAAAATCCAGAAGGATGAAAATCAAATTGAGGTTATATCAGTAATGATATTAGATGTATGTTTTTCTAACCATTTGCA